AGGAGGAGGAGGAGGAGGAAGAGCGTCATCACCATCCTTTGGTAGTAGTGGGAAGGAGCCTTTCCTAAATGACAGCCCTGAGGTGAGGGGTTGCAGAAGCAGCAGCCATCCACCCCCTTACCTTACCTTACCTTCTAGGACAATGGACCCCACCTGGGCCCTCTTCCAGAATTAGGGGGCTAATATAAGCTGACAAATGTGTGTGTGGGGGGGTGCTGTTTGTGGGGCCAGATCCGTGAGTGCTACGGAGGGGAACTCTAGGTGGACAGGGATGCAAAGGTCCCCTCAGGTTCCCCTCAGCCCTTAGGTGCCCAGGCCCAGTTCCCTATTTTACAGATGAAGGAACTGTCACAAAGGCCGGACACCTAGCCAAGGCCACGTATGGAACAGGGACTAGAATCTTGAAGTCTGGACCCTGCAGCCCAGGGCTCCTTCCCCACTAAGGCCAGAGTGGGGCTGTGAGCCTGGCACTGCTCCCTCTGTGTGCTCCACAGCTCCCTTCCTGTGCCCTCTGGACCCTTGGGCTGTGGATGAGTGAGTGACTGAATGAGTGACTGAATGGAAAAGAATGACGGCAGGTTGCTTTCCTCGCCCTGGCCATTTCAGAGTGACCCCCTGGGTCCTATTGGAAGGTGGAAAACTGAGGTCAAGGTGAGGGGCCGTGGAAGGATCGTGCCTTCCTGGCCTCCCCTCCCAGCAGTCCTGGGGCCCAGGGAGCCTGAGGTGAGGGGGCAGGCAGGGTGACAGTGCAGTAGAGTGGCCAGGTGGGAGACAGAAGAGCCATTGATGGGGATAGGAGGGGTATTGGTGGACATCTGAGGTTCCCTGCCTTGGGCTTGGGGTGAGGACATTCCCTCCGCCAGGGCTGCGGGTGTCCCTTCCGTCCCCGCAGAGCCAGTTCTGACTCCGACCGCTGCGGCTTCTCTCCTTCTGTAAATCACCAGCTAAGGGGCTGCAATCTGGGGGGAGGAGCTGGGCGGGGCGCTGCTGGGGAAATTTACAGCCATGATTTTCTCCTCTATGTTGGGAGCTTGAGGGGGCTGCAGTAACTCTGCTCTGGCTCCCTCTAAATATCGCCCACGCCCCCCACCCACAGCCTGATGCTCCATTGACTGCACACGAACTGGGACCAGGCTCCTGCAAGGGAGGATGCAGGGTAGACTCCAGCCAGAACTTCCCAGACACCGATGGTCTGAGTACACAGAACTGGTGAGTGATGGAAGCAGCCGTGCGCAGAGGCTGGGGGTAAATGGAATAAACTCTGAGGTAACACTCTTCCACTGGACAGATATTTAATTTAATGGGCACCTGGTATATGCCAGGCTCTGCCTGGGCCAGGTGCTGCTGAATATGACAGATGTCAAGTGAACCTACTGGACCCCGGGGGTGAGATGGACTTGAATGGAATAACTCACAGTCAAGTCCTCCCTGGGCATGAGAAGCATCGCTGCTGGTTCCTGTAGGGCCACAGGGAATCTGAGGGGACCGCTGCCCCTCAGTGTCTGGGCCAGGTCTGCAGCTGGGAGCTGCCTGCTCGGCCCAAGTTGACCTCCAGCTGAGGTCTTAATTACAGCTTCCTGCCCCGACACCTTCATATGGCCCTGGGACCATCAAGTGTGCAGGTATCTCCCTCCTGATCTCTTCCAACCAAGTCTCAGGGACCCCGGGTTTCTGTGGGGTGAACCCTGGCCCAGGCTGGGCTGGACTGTGGAGAGAGCCCTGCCCCTCCCTTCCTTCTGAAGATGCGCAGAGTTCCACCGCAAAGGACTCTGTCAGGAAAGAGGTGCTGCTGGGAGCAGCAGAGGGAAGAGGAGGGAGACAGGGCAGGCTCATCTGTGTGGTCCCTGGAGAATGATTTAAGATCCTCAACAGAGGTGGCTGGTGAGGGGAAAGTAGCACGGTAGACATCAGGGAGCCCAGTTCTGGGCTTGGCCACCTGCCTGCTGGGTAACCTTGGGCAGGTCACGGAGCCTTGGTTTCTCCTCTGTAAAATGGGGTGGAAACACCCAACATTATCTGTCGTGAGAGTTAGGGAGGAGGATGCTGTGCGCATTGGAAGATATAAGTGTGCAGGCAACATAAAGGAACAAGATTGCATAATAATTGTTAATCAAGAACCTTCTCCGGGCCAGACATGGCCTTATTGGATCCTCATAGCAACCCAGTGGGCAGACATTATTTGTCTCACATTTTATAGGCAAGAAATCCTGAATCTCAAGGGGCAATAGGCAGCTGGTGGGAGGTCTCCCCGGCCTCACCCTTACCCTGAGCCGAGTCTACCAAAGAATGTGCAAACTGGGATTTTACTTTCAGAAGTGGTTTCCCTACTTTCATTAAGTTACCACATATACATGGGCCAAAATTCAAAAGGGGGAGAGTGGAAAGTGTCAACCTCCCTCCTACCCCTCCCTCCAGCCCCCACTTCCCCATCTAGGGTGCAGAAATTAGAGCTTTTTTTTTATTTGTATTTTTTAATGGTTTGTTTTATTATAGAGTTTTCCAGAGACAGCTTATGTATGCATGTTAGGCGTATGTATATATACATTTGTATATTTATGTACATATTTTTATATATTTAGATTGGTAGGTGATAACTCATTGCTATTTTATTTCATTTTGCAAAAGGAGGCACATACTAGATGTAAAAACTCATTTCTAGGCAGTGCTTTCTAGGTTTTTTGTTTTGTTTCTGTGGTGCTAGGGTCCAACCCAGGGCCAGGTGCATGCTAAGGACATGCTTGACTATTGAGCCACCTCCCCCGCCCCTCGGCAGCACATTCTCTTTTTTCTTTTTTTTGGTACCAGAGATTGAACCCAGGGGCACTTAACCACTGAGCCACATCCCCAGCCCTATTTCATATTTTATTTAGAGACAGGGTCTTGCTGGATTGCTTGGGACCTTGCCATTGCTGAGGCTGGCTTTGAACTTGCGATCCTCCTGCCTCCTTCTCTCTGGGATCACAGGCACGTGCCAGTGCACCCTGCCCAGCAGCACTTTCTAGCAGCCCTAGACGAGCTCCCTGTGATGGTAGGTGCACACACAGGTGTTGCAGAAGGGAGCCCAGCATGGGAGGGGCTGCTGTGTGCCTCTAGGCTAGTCCTGAATTGTCTCTTAAGTCTCAGTCCCCCTACTCTGCAGAGGTGGAAATGAGGTAGGGAGAGGTTGTGGGGCACAGAATCTGTCCTTGGCGAATCTATAGAGGAGCGGTGGATGAATGCTGCTGCCGCCAAGCTCTGATGGCACTTAGGTCCCAGGTAGGGACAGGAATGGGCAAGGGGGTTCCGCAGCTCAGGAGAAAACCTGCCAGACCGGGGGTGAGTGGGAGGCATGGCAGCATGTGCACCCCACAGGCCCCCTGTTTGTTTGTAAAGGCTCAGGCAAGAATCTGCCCTCCTGATCCCGAGGCCTCTGGTTACAAGGTTCAGGGCTGGCCCTGGGGACAGGGAGGGGGGGCAACTGGTATCTGACCCCTAAACCTGGTGCTTCCCTTGATTGCCTCCCTCGATCGCCAGGCCAGATAAGGGGCAGGTCGCCCTCTGACCTTAGAGCCTCAGGCCCTTGGTGGGGAGGGGTGGACGTGCGGGCACCCTCTGGGCGGAGGCCCTTAAGGAACCGCACGCACATCCATTTCTCAGACATGAGTGATCCGCCTTCGACTCTCGCAATGTCAGCCCTCACTGAGTCCCCTGGTGTGTTGAAACCTCAGGTGCATATATCCCAGGGTGTGGCTTGATCAGGTTCCACGCGCACACTGACCCATGCCGCTGCCCCAGCGCAGCGTGGAAGGCCTCCAGCATCCAGAAGGCTTCTGCGCAGCCCTCCCACCCAGCACCCCCCGACGGAACCACAGATTCAGTATTTGTTGTGGTTCTGAATTTCCCATACACGGACTCATCCTACAGCCCCCTTCTTATCTGTGAGTGCCACCCGTGGAGATGGGTGATGCCGTAGTGTGTCCTTCTTGTGTGCTCCGTGGTATTTGATCGTATGAGTGTATCACAGTTGCACTCTCCTGTTGGCAGACACTTGAGCACAGCATTGAGGTGGAGGGTCCTGTGCATGTCCTTTAGTGGACATATGAATGAGTTTCTGTTGGACATGCCCCAGTGTGTGTGGGGGGTGCTGGGTCATGAGGATTCACCCTAGGTTACTGTTTGTGTCATTTTAAGGGACTCACTTTTATGTATAAATTTATACTTCATGTTCCGAGAAGTACACATCTTATAAGTGAATGTCTAGATGAATCTTCACAGACTGAACACCCTGGTGTAAACAGCCCCCCAAACAAGAAACAAAACATTACGGGGACCTCAGAAGCCCTAGGCCTCACTTTATAGTCCTAATGTACCTTTGCAGGTAACTGTTTTCCTGATTCTTCATGACACAGATCAGTTCTCCATTTTTTAAAACTTGATGAAAATGGAATTCCCAGGATAGACTTTGTTATTTGTTTTCTTATACTCAGCAAGCGGTTTGTAAGATTCATTCATGTTATGTAAATCAAGAGTTTGTTCTTTATCTTGGTTGTATAGTATTCCACGAACACAATGACACGATGAGGCGTATATCTGCTCTTTTATTGGTAAACATTTAGCTATTAAACACAGTGCTGCTCCAAGGAGCTTTTGGACATTCTTTAATGTACATTTATGTACTTCTAAAAGTAGAATTACTAATAGATAGATATCTTCAATTCAAATATATTCTTTTTTTTTTTTTTTGGTACTGGGAATTGCATGCAGAAGTGCTCTACTACAGAGCTACATCCTCAGCACTTTTCATTTTTATTTTGTGACGGGGTCTCACAAAGTAGCTGAGGCAGGCCTTGAACTCGTGATCAATCTCCACAATAGCTAGGATTACAGGCCTGTGCTACCCTGACGGTCATACACTCATTTCTTTCTTTTTTTTTTTAATTCACAGGCTCTGTTTTTTTTTTTTTTAAAGAGAAGTTTTGAGTTTACAGAAAAATTGAGCAGAAAGTACAGAATTTCTATACACTCCCTGGACCTCTGCCACAGTATCAATATTGGTCCATCAATTGTAAAGGATGTACCATGCCAATGTAAGACCTCAGTAACAAGCTTAGTAATTGGGTTACTTATTACTTTAGCAATGAGGTTAGTAAGGTCTTGCCTTGGTGTGGTATATCTGCTACAATTGATGAACCAACATTGATACATTATTATTAACTAAAGTTCATAGTTGACTTTAGGGCTTATTTTGTCTTGTACAGTGTAAGGAGTTTTGATAAATGCATAATTTCATGTGTCCATCATTACAATATCACACAGAATAGTTTCAGTTTCACTGTCCTAAAAATCCCCTTCGCCCACTTATTCATACATTTCCCTATACTCTGAGCTCCTGGCAACCACTGATCATCTTATCCTTTTCCAGAATGTCATTATCTAGTTGAAATCATATAGTATGTGGTCTTTTAGACTGACTTCTTTCACCCAGAAATATGCATTTAAGTAAACTTGCTGTCTTTTCATAGCTTGATACTTTGCTTTTTTAAAAAATATTTCTTAGTTGTTGACATATTTTTGTTTTTTATTTATAAAAATATAAATAAAAGAAACTGCTCAGGATCAAACCCAGTGCCTCACACATACTAGGCAAACGCTCTACCACTGAGCCACAACCCCAGCCCCAATACCTTGCTTCTTTTTAACACTCAATAATATCGCATAGTGTGGATTTATAGCAGCTTGTTTATGCATGCAACTATTGAAGGACATCTGGTTGCTTACAAGTCTTGGTGATTATGAATAAAGCTGCTATAAACATTTGCATGCAGTTTTTTTTGTGTATGCGTGTGGACATAAGGTTTCAAGTCAGTTGGGTAAACACCTAGGAGTGCAATTACCAGATTGTATGGCGAGAACATGTTTACCTTTGTAAGAAGCTGCCAAACTGTATTCCGGAGCTATGGTACCATTTTGCATTCCTATCAGCAATAACTGAGAGTTGCTGTTGTTCTACATCCTTGCTAGCATTTAGCATTGCTAGTATTTTGCATTTTAGCCATACTAATAGGTATGGGTGGCATCTCATGGTTGTTTCAACTTACAGTTTCCAAAAGACAAACGTGTGGAGCACCTTTTCGTATGCTGATTTGCCGTCTGTATATCTTCTGATGAGATGACTGTTCAAATCTTTCGCCCACTTTTAAATTGGGTCTGTTTCCATATTGTTGAATTGTTCACGTTCTTTGTATGTTTCAGATACAAGTCCTTTAACACATAGGTCTTGTGAATTTTTTTTTTTTTCAGTCTGTGGCTTCTCTGGCCATTCTCTTAAAGTAGATTCACGTTCAGCTGAAACTTCACATCATTCAGTAATAGGAAAACCAGAATAATTGGACTTCGAAGAGGGGGGGACTATAAAATAAAATAAAAAGCATTATGATATTCCATTCTAGCTAAGTCCTGCCACCTGCTCCTGGTTCTGAGCCTGAGGCTTAATCTTCCCTGTTAGAAAGGGAACTTACCTGACTGGGGATGGGGCTCAGTGGTAGAACACTTGTGAGAGGCCCTGGGTTCGATTCCCAGCACTGCAAAAAAAAAAAAAAAGGAGTGGGGGGCAGACAGAAGGTGCATAAGCCGGGCCAGCACCAAACTGAGTTTTACTCTGGGTCAGAATCGGAAAGTTTGAAAAATAAGGAGTAGTTATTTAATGCTGGTCACTGTAGCTCCTGAAAGAATCTTTTGGGAATCACTGATACGGTTCACCCCCTGGCCCCTGCCTTTAACCATCCGGTGTTAAAATCCTTTGATCTTTCACCCAGTGTGTGCACCCCTCCAGTGATCAGGAAATCACCCCCTCCTGAGATGACCTATCTCCCTAGAGGCAGCTCTAGCAGGAAGTCCTCCTTTGCATCCAGCCAAGATCTCCCCGTGACTTCCCCCACAGGAGCTACCTCTCCGCTTTGGGAATCCTGGGATCAAAGTGAATTCATTTGTCCTGGGAGAGCCATTAACCTTTCAAAGCCTCAGCTGCTTCATCTAAAAAAAAATGAGAAATCATAATATCTACCTTCCAGGGAATTTGTATGATAAAACAAAATCCAACGTGCTGCCGGGCGTGGTGGTGCATGCTGTAATCTCAGCGACTAGGGAGGCTGAGGCAGGAGGATCACGAGTTCAAAGCCAGCTTCAGCAATTTAGCGAGGCACTTAGCAACTTGGGAATACTCTGTCTCTAAATAAAATGTAAAAAAAAAAAGGGGGGGGCGGGGATATGGTTCAGTGGTTAAGCACCCCTGGGTTCAATCCCCAGTATTAAAAAAAAAAAAAAAAAAGACATAGTATGCTAAGTGTTCAGCCCCATGCCCTGTCACCAGGAGGAAGGGAAGAAAGGCGCTCTCTTGCTGACTTAATTGTGAAGTCGTCCCTGGGAGGAGGCTGGAAGGGATCTGCCGGGGTTTGTCTGGGCAGTGTCTCAGTATTGTTGAGAGGACCAAGATCTTAAAGTCTGAGTTTATATTCTAATAGAGCCTCAGGAATAATCTAATCCAACCTATTCATTAAGAACCTGGAGATCAGAGAGGCCAGGAGATTTGTCCAAAGTCCCAAGATAAGAGGCAGAGTAGAGATTTCTCAGTACGGGGAAGGAGCAAAGGAATTGGAGTCCTGAGCCCGAGCTCTGGTCTGTCTGGCTAGAGAGATAACTTACTGTGTGACCTTGGGCACATGCCTTTTCTTCTCTGGGCCTGTTTCCTCACTTACAAAATGAGTCATCCACCGAAATAGGTTTTCGAGGCTGTTTTTGGTTCTAAAATCCTGTGGCCAAGGAGGTGATTCTCGAATTTGAAGGAAGGGTGGGACCAATTCAGCAGACAGGGGCATTTTAGGCAGAAGGGGGCAGCGCTGGTGAGGCTCAGGGAGGTCACTGGATTAGACTGGACATTTGAGAAGAGAAGACCCCAGGAAAGCAGTTAGCATGGTACTCAACTCAATTAATTCTTTTCTTTTTCCCTGAGAAAAACGTCCCATTTCCACCACTCTACTTCGTCCATTAAATGGAGGCTGATAGTTATGGTGGGTTTGCTGAACCAAAGTCCTTTCTCCTCTTCTTCCTGTTTGTTTTCGTGGTACTGGGGATGGAACCCAGGTACACTCTACCACTGAGCTACCTCCCCAGCACCCCCTCCCCTTTTAAATTTTTTTTTAGTTATACGTGGGCACAATATCTTTATTTTGTTTATTTATTTTTATGTGGTGCTGAGGATGGAACCCAGTGCCTCACATATGCAAGGCAAGCGCTCTGTCACTGAGCCACAATCCCAGCCCTCCCCAGCCAATCTAGGGTTTTATTTTGAGATGAGGTCTTGCTGAGCTCTCCAGATTGGCCTGGAACTCAGCCCTCCAAGGCACTGGGATTACAGGTGTGCACTATTTCACCTAGCTCTCTTCCTCTTTTAAAATAGTGAAATCAGGCCAGGTGTGGTGGCTCTGTCCTTAACCCCAGTGACTCAGGAGGCTGAGGCAGGAGGATCTTGAGTTCAAAGACAGCCTCAGTAACTTAGCAAGGCCCTAAGCAACTTAGGGAGACTCTGTCTCAAAAACATTAAAAGGGTTGGAGATGTAGCTCGGGGATTAAGTGCCCCTGGGTTCAATCCATGGTACCAAATAAATAAAAATAAAACAGTGAAATCAATGCTAAGTTTTGAGAGTGTCTGAGGGATAGCTTGCTCTTTTTCTCATGAGGAGCTTACTTCTCTCCCCTGGATGACAGCTATCAGTCCTTTAAAATGAATGGAGATAAGCGGTAGCGCGCTTGCCTGGTATGTGTGCCGCCTGGGTTTGATCCTCAGCACCACATACAAACAAAGATATTGTGTCCCCCGAAAACTGTAAAATAAATATTTTAAAAATAAAATAAAATAAAATGAATGGAGATTCTCTATCAAAAGAAAGAAAGAAAAAGAAAAATAGGGGGGAAAATGAAGGGAGGGAAGAAGGAGAAAGGAAAGTCCAATATAATGCCAAATAAAGAATCCCAGGGTCACAGAGCTGTAAGAAGTCTTATAGTCTTGTCCACTCCCAGCCGTCCCCTTTTAGGGAACAAAAAAATAGAATCTTAGAGAGATGTAGCCATAACATAATTAAAATACTGCCAGGTGTGGTGGCTCACCCCTGTAATCCCAGTGACTTGGTAGGCTGAGGCAGGAGGAGCACAAGTTCAAAGCCAGCCTTAGCAATTTAGTGAGAACCTGTCTCAAAATAAATAAATGAATGAATAAATAAAATAAAGGCTGAGGATGTAACTCAGTGGTATATTGCCCCTAGGTTAAATGCCTGGATCCCCCCAAACAAAACAACCACCATCACCACCAAACAAAAAAAATAAAATGCTTTTAAGCTGGAGGTGGGGGGACAAGTGGGCTGGGACACGCATGCTCTTGTCCATGGTCCTGAAACTTCGCTTCAGGCCATGGTCATTTCCCCACACCCGGAGACATGGATGATTCCTGTTTGCTCTCTTCCAGGAATTGTGAACCAAGGACGAGAAGAGGGCATCCTAGGGCAGAAGGGAGGTCACTGAAGGCGAAGAGCATAGGGACAGAAGCCACTGGGAGGCATCGCTGTAGCAGATTGTCAGAGAGGAGGGGAGGGGTTTTGTTGTGACGTTGTCTTCAGACAATGGCAGTTACCTGTAAAGAAACCAACCATGATACAACTACAGCCCAAATGGAAATGACTGAAGAAGAACAAGAAACGTGTGTCTCAAGGCTGTGCGCGTGTCAACACGAGCAGACTAATTCAGGCGGGCGTGCCGAACACGCTGGGGGAGAGCCGGGTTGACTATCATTATTCTTTGTTTCTCTTTTCTTGTCTGATGAAAAATTTGCAATTTCTACACTGTCACAAAGCAATCAAAACCGTGATTAAGTTTCACAATTTTGACAGCTAGTTTCATGTGCTTTAAGTAGCTCTGTCCTGTTTTCGACAATTTGAACAATTTGTGTTTCCTAGGAATTTGAAGAAGATCACCAAGGTCTTCCCTTCCCACTACCCCAGTCTCGAGAGCAACCCATTCAGCGGGTGAGGGGGTTGAACTTTGCTCTGAGTGTGTTGTGCATGGGAACTCATTGACTCCTCATGAGAACTGATGGAGGTGGGTGCTGTTAGAACTGAAGAGGAAAGGCCGGGTAAGGTGGCGCACGCCTGTAATCCCAGTGGCTCAGGAGGCTGAGGCAGGAGGATCTTGAGTTCGAAGCTAGGCTCAGCAAAAGCAAAACACTAAGCAATTCAGTGAGACCCTGTCTCTAAATAAAAATACAAAATAGGGCTGGGGATGTGGCTCAGTGCCTGAGTGCCCCTGAGTTCAGATCCTGGTACCCCCGATCCCCCCAAAAACAAAAGAGGAAATAGAGTGTCAGTGGTTTGAGGCTGGAGGTGGTAGTCATCGGGCTCCATGTCCTGCATTCTTAGCTCCCAGTGAGTCCACCCATGGGTATCCTCCTTTTCCAAAGCAGAATCAGATGTAGGCTTCCTGATTCTCAGAGAGGACCCTTTCCTTCCCACCACCTCCATGGGGGTCCATGGCAGAACCAGGTGCATTGATTAAAGGGAGACACACTGGTCCCTGTTGGCCTGATCTGCTCCATGATGAAAGCGCAAGGCTGATCCCGGAGCGGGAAACCACTGGGAGCAGAAAGCGTGCTCTTGCTGAGACCCAGGCTCCAGCCCCCCTTCATGCCCCAGGGAGTTCTGGCCCAGAGGAAGATCCAATTTCCAGGCATGGTTGAAACCAGAGCCAGGCACCCCCTCCCTCCTGCCTCCCGTGTTCCTCTCCCGTGTGTGCCCATGTGGAATAGGCTGAGAGCACAAGGAGAAGCATTGTTCCCGCCCCCACCTCATGTGACCCAGCTGTCAGCAGAGCGTGGAAGAGTTTGTGTAACTTTGCTGAGGTTAAGAGCAGGTCAGGGCGGAGCTGCGGCCCAGGCTACTCTCCCAGTAAAGGAAGCCTTGGGCTAAGCCAGGCGGCCCGTGGGAACAGAAGCACATACCTGCTGCCCATGCTCTGAAACGGGAAGGCAGCCCCCGCTGCTGGGCGGGAAGACACAGACCTCAGGTCTCCCAGCTGCCCTCCTCCGGTCCTGGGCCTTGGGCACAGAGGCAAAAGCAAAACACATAGAAGCCTGAATGAACAAGGAACTCAAGCAGCCCAGTTCACACATCTGTCAGGTGCAAATACTCAGGCCTGGGGAGGAAAGAGGAACTAACAGGAATCACATACCTTATGGAGTACCATTCATTCATTCATCTACTCAGCCAACAAAACACCTGCAGAAGGTACCTGCAGGCATTATCCTAGGAAGTTCATGTATTTCTCATACAGGTTGGCATTCAGGAGAGGAAATAGCGACTCAGAGAGGGCATGAGATCTTGCCAAATTTGCACAGCTGATTTAAAACAGGCCCGAGTGCCAGCCCTTGACTCTCTCCCTTAAACCAGACGTAAGCACCTGTACCTAGAGAACATAGAAAGTCAAATGGAGGAGAGGGTCCTAAGAAGTCATCTGATCCATTCCCCTGTCTCCTGGTAAATGATATGACAGAGTCAATTCCACTCAACAATTTATTTGGCATCTACTCTGGGCAAAGGACCTAATTGATTCTCTTCTTCTGGGAAGATTTCCAGGAGCCAACTAGCATTGAGAAGTTTGTCCTGATAAAATCTTTTCTCCTTTAATTTAAGCCATTTTCCCATTTGTCTTCCATGGGATGTGAATGGAGCTTGTGTTTGGAGAAAAGCTCTTTCTGCATCTCAGGGTGTGAGAGGCCGGGATGGGCTCCAGTGTGGGTGGGCACACTCCAGAATTTTCTAGAGTTGGAACTCAACGGAGATGAGTGGATAGATGAAAATAGGCACAGAATTTAAGCAGTACGTTGAAAGGTTTATGGACAACGTGCACGTACGTGCCTTCCACCCAGAAAGCAGTCCTGAAAGGCAGGCCATTGATTTCCAATGCACAGATGAGAACATTTAGGTTCAGAAAGCTTCCATAGGGGCTCATGAACAGCAGATTTGCAACCCACTCCCTGGCTGCTTGACTCCTCGCCCGGTGCTCCTTCTGTGAGGTCATGTGACTCGAGTACCTGTGGGTGGTACCAGTGGAAGCATGGTGTGATGACATTGGCAGGCAGTTCCTCTGACTTTCTTGCAGAGGGGGATATGCTCAGCTGGGCTGGAAGCTCCGGGGAGGGGGTGGAAGTGGAGGAGGGGCTTCTGTCCAATCAGACGTGTCGGGAGGGAGAGGGAGTCTGTGGCTTGAGTTAATGATCCCTGCTATCCACATTGCTGAATGGTGGGAACAGGTGGCCAACAAGGAGCTAACCATCCGAGACACGGGGCTGGCTGAGTTGGGGAGCACTGGCTGTGGTCTACATGAAGATGATTTCCCCCTGGAGAGACAGATGGGGGTCCTTCACCCATCTGAGCTCACCAGGACCATTACGACCATCTATCTCCCAGAGGTTCCCTGTCCCCCACCTCCTCACTGCCGGGAAAGCCCGACTTACACAGCACAAACCCATTCCTCTCACTTCTCTCCAGAGAATCTTTCCACCCTGTTCCCCAATGCACAGCCCAACCTCCCAAGCAGGCGCTTATTATTTGACCCCATTTACTTTTCTAATCCTGACCTCAAAACTCCTGCACACCCTGCCCACGGTCCTCACAGAGGCTAACCTTGGTCCTCGCCAAACCCTTCACCTGGGTTGCCTGCCCCTCACGCTCCAGCCTTGATCCTTCCCTCTTCCCAACTCAAAACCCAGTTTTTCTCTTGTGACCTTTATCTCCTTTCCCCTGGCAAGGCTGAGGTCGGGATAGGAAGGTGAGCCGGGCAGGGTCTGGGTTTCAGGTCTGTGTATGCAGTCCCTCTGGACCCCAACATGGCGCTTCCTTGTGGTAGGAGCCTAAATGCCTACACAGGGCATGGAAAGGACTGGGAGAGGCAGAGGGACACGCAGGGCTCATATTCCAGGCTCCGGAGCAAAGCGGTGCCTGGATTCAAATCCTGGCTCTGTTACCTACCTATGAGCCATGTGACTTTGGAAAAGTTTTTTTTTACTGTGCCTCAGTTTCTTCATCTGTCACTCAGGGATAATAGTGGTGCTGGGCACCTTCTCTGGCCTGAGGCCCTGGTCATTTTAACTTCTTTCTTCACAGGGAGAGGACTCACTTCTGTCCACAACCCTGAGGCTTTGTTCCTCCTGTCTCCAGACCTATAGCTGCTAAGGCTGGAGTTTCCTGGGAGCCTGGTTTGGTCAAGGAGAAAGAAGGGTGAAATGTGGAGCCTGACCTGCCTGACCCACTTTTCTATCCCCATGGGATGCCATTTAACCCTCCCCTGCAGATGCACCCTAGGTCCTGGACTGATTGGGAGAGGAGGTGCCCCAGGCCCTAGCCTGTCTCGTCTCTGGCTTGCCCACTGTGAATCCAGGAACTGACCTTTCCCTTACTTCTGCCAGGTCCATGATCGGCATCCCCCACCCGCCATGTACCTGAGGGAGGCTGGAGACCGAGCCTCAGTTGGTGCTGTATTGGCTCTGTGCTCCGGGGTGACTGTGAGGGTGACAGGTTCATTCACAATTTGCAGATGGAGAACTGGAATCTCAGAGAGGTCCAGCAGCAGGCCACGCAGCCGGAAGTGCCAGGACAAGAGCCTACAGTCTTTTCCCCATGCCCCAGTTCCTGCCTGGAACCTAGGTCTGAGAGGGAACAGCAAGGACAATTCCCTCGATCCCCAATAAACACAGCCTTTGAAATGGCCTCGTGCCTCCTGGCCTAAGGTGGACTTCCCTGGCTCATCCTAGGAATGGGAGAAGCAGCCATGGGTTTCCTGGTGGGGGATGTGGGAGTGGTGAGGTTGAGAGAATCCTGAAGAACAAGGAAAGAACTGGCCACTGGCCCTGAATGGTAACAACAATTGTCCAGCTAACCTGCACGGGCGTCACTCCGGCCAGAGACCCCTGGTGACCATGGCAGAGACTGGGGAGAGAGCAGGCCACCTGGAAGAGAAATGGAGGAAGACAGAGTGAGGTGCTCTTCTGCTACAGCTTGTGTGAGCTTTCTGGACTCCTTTAGATCCCTGGGTTGATCATGCAGCACACATCCCATGTATCTGTTAGGACTTGTTGCAAGGAACAGAAAACCCTCCTCAAACTAACTTTGGAAAAATGAGGAATTTTTTTTTGGTTTACATAACAGAATGTAGTTCCTGTGTAAGTCTGGCTTCAGGGACATTTGATCCAGGGCCCAGATGACATCTTCAGAATCTCTCTCTCAGTTCGCTTGCCTGTGGTTGTCTTATTCTCTAGCAATCCAGGTGCTACCCCAAGATAGATACTCCAGTGGAAAAGATGGAGCTTTCCTTCCCAGAAGCCCCAGCATTTCCTTGACTCTGGATGTTCTCCATGTCCTGAATCAATCACTGGAGGTGAGGGTTGAGGATACACAAACTGGTTTAGTCCAGGGCTCATTCTTCAGCTCTGGGTGATACAATCCCATCAAATCACCTGAGGGAATGGGGGAAAGAGTACTGCCAAAGGGAATTTGGGTCTTGGCAGCCAATAGCAGGATCCCCTGCACCTTCTACCCTGCAAAGATGACTCACCCCCATTCACACAGCCCAGCCCTGGCCAATGCCCCTCTGCCCCTCTCCTTTCATCTCATCCCATTCTGCTCCTGAACTTGCAGCTCAGACTCCTTCAGGGCCTGGGATGAGCATTTGGGTACATGTGATCCACTGGGGGAAGAGTCTCATGAGAAAGGGCACAAAAGAAGCAGAGTTGGGCAAAGGAAGGAGCTAGACAAAGATGTCAGGTCAGCTGGACCCAGCCTGATCTCCAAGGGAGTGCTGGAGCATCCACGGTGCCGAAAGATTGGTCCCTCCTTGAGGCAAGGGGATGACCTTTTGCAGTACCCCCATTGGTCCATCAGTCATTGGTTGTGGGCTTCCTAGGAGCATGTGACCTTTCAGAGGAGGCAGCTCCCCTTCTCTAAGGACAGTTCTTTAGAGATGGTGGCATCAGGGAGCCATTAGCAGCTAACACAGCAGCAGAGGATTTAGGCAGAGCCGTCACTACAGGCTCCCTGGCTTGCCCTTCAAAATGAGCACTTGGTCCTGTTTCCTTGATAATGACCTGTCCCCTCAGTGATCTCTGGGGTCCATCACCTTTATCTTCCTCTGGCTGCCAATAAACATCAACTTTGGCAGACCCTAAAGGCCTCTTCCTTTTGGCACTATTCCCAAGGGGACTCAGGGTGCTACCCAACTCCTAGAGCAGGAACAAACCAAAGAGAGAGCGGCCTTGGGTGGGGAGGGAGCCTGCTACAGAAGCAGCACAGATAGGAGGAGATGCCTCGCAGGACAGGGTCCCTGGCCTCCTGGTTTCTTCTGCCCCACTCCTCCCCAGCCCTGACCTTTGTCTGCATCTCTGCCACTCACTGGACCTCTGCGTCCTCCTGGTGAATGGATTTGAGCTTCTTCTGAGGATGATTCTGTTGGGCCTCCTAGTTCCCGGGATTCTTCCCCAGGCAGCTGATGGACTCGGACAATAGAGGGTCCAGTTAGCTCCCTTGCTGGGTGCCTACTGCTTTTGATGGCTTATACTGTGCTTGGTGTGGGGACTTTGTCTAGTTTGAGTGCTTCCCCATACAAACTGAAAAGACAAACCACAAAGGTATATAAGACGTCTGACCAGCAAAAGGTTAACATTCTAATATACAAAAAAGGTTTTATAAATCAATCACAAAATCCAAGAACACCGCAATATAAAAATTGGTCAAAGGACATGAACAGGCAATATTGCACTAGAGAAATAGCTATAGTCAATATAGATATGAGAAGGTGCCTGACCTCACTGGTAATCAAAGAAATTCAAATTAATGGTGCAAAATAGAATCATTATTTTTTTTTTCACCTTTTCAATTGGCAACTGTCCCACGCTGATGAGGGTGTGCAGAGATGGACATTCTCATGCCAAGTTGATAGAGCAACAGGAGTGCAAAAGGGGTAAGTTTCTGGAAGGCAGTTTAGAAACCCTTAGCAAGCACTTTAAAATGTGCATAACCCTGAGAAAGGAAGATGTCCCCAAGAGCATATGTGCAATGATGTTTATCTCAGCACTATTTATAATAGAAAAAAGGAAATGGCTTAATGATCCATCCATTAAAAAGTGGTTAAATTAATTAGGCTTCGTTCATACAATGGAATTGTATGCAGCCATTAAAAATGACATCTGGCCAGGTACAGCGCTGCTTTCCTGTAATCA